TGGCAGATGATGCTGGCCCGCTGAGGTGAGTTGGGGGGTGGAGGTGGCGCACGCTCCCCACCATGCCGGGTTGGCCCAAACTTCCTAGCATTGCTGACCGCCCTCCAAATGTTCTTCCGTGCCCCCCCCCACGGTTTGAAAACCTCTGCTCCAGCTGCACAAAGGCCCTAATACGTGTCTATTTGTATCCCCGGTGCGAGTAGTACACTAGGCACTACATTGACCGATCAGAAGAGCCCAGTCCCTGCATCCCTGAACTCTAAATAGAACACTGTAAGTGCAACCCCTGGAGTACATGGGAGTGCTTGGCTCCCACCATTTTGTTTACTTTGTTATTTGCCCGTCTTCCCCAACTCCTCCGCCCTCACCACCAGCACCCGCGGTGCAGCTGTTGGTTTAATGCTCTGTTGTTCCCTCCCACCCCTTATTTTGTGGTCTCCTGGCTATTTCCATGATAGCAAATTAATGCTGGTTCCTATGAAGGCTATCCAGGACCTGGCTGTGACTTGGGTTGAGGGACGTGCATAGTGTGGGTTAAAAAGAAAAGCGACTTGTGCAAAAAGTTCATAGACGTTAAGGCCAGAAGGAACCATTATGATCAGCTGGTCTGACTTTCTCCATTGCAGGGAGTCACAGCGTTTAAGGCCAGAAGGGAGCACTAGGTCCTCTAGCTGATCTTCTCTATGTCTCAGGCCACCAATACCACTCAGCACCTCCTCCCTAAACCCACCAATGGAAATGAGATTGCTAGGAGACTCAACTATTATGTACCACAGACCGAGAATAGGAGGGATTAAGGTGCACCAGTGCTCCAGGCCCCTCAATGGCAGGAAAAGGATTAAATGAGATGTACCCAGATAATCCTGGCAAGTGACCCCCACCCAGATGCTGGAGAAGAAGTCAAGAGACCCCTAACATCACTGCCAATTTGACCTGGAGGGAAATTTCCTTCTGACCCCATACATGATAATCGGTGTGACCCTGAGCATGTGAGCGAGAACCAGCCAGCTGACACCTGAGAGAGAGAGAATTTTCGGTGCCACCGCAGAGCCCAGGCCCACCCACCCAAAATCCCATCTCCAATCATGGCCATCCCTGATGCTGCAGAGGAAGGAGATAAAAATTTCCAGAATACATGGGGGGGAATCCCTTACTGACCACTGCTGGTGGCTGGCTGAAGCAGGTACTTTAGTAACACAAGACACAAACTGGAAGTGAGCCCCAGAGCTGTTGAGCCCTACCCTTCACCATCTCAAGCAAGCCCTTCATCCAGTTGCACTCAGAAAATTTCCAGTTGACTTGCCTGGTTACTAATGTTCATGTTTCCGTTGGGTGGGATGCTTCTAGGTCTGCATCCACGACACCGTCTGGCTCCCCTAGAACCTCACAGCAGAATGTCTACAATCCACCGGACGTCTCCACGTGGAACCCGTTCGATGACGATAACTTCTCCAAACTCACGGCGGAGGAGCTGCTGAACAAGGACTTTGCAAAACTGAGCGACGGTGAGTTTACAGGAGCGCTTCGGTGTCAGCTAGCGACTGGCGTTGCTCCCTTCTGGACCTGGGAAAGCGGGAATGGCATAACGGTGGGGGGATGACAGCAGCTAGAGGCTTCTGAAATGTCCCAGTTACAGAGAGTTCTTGTGAGCGCGAGAACCCGCGGAACTAACCTGTTAACATTGTGCATCCAGTAGTTTTGTCTCTTACTTTAATTGGGCATGTGGCATACTGCACAAGCCCTCCAAGATGTAATGTTCGTCTGCAACCCTTGCTCACCTCTGCTAGTGCCTTCCTCTCAGTGAGGTCAGGGAGAACTCGAGAAAGGCTCTGGCCCTGATAAGCCTACCATCCTATCACGGTATATCCATTACATTGCTGCATACAGATCTGCAGCACGCAGATTAAGTTACATTGCTTCATTAATGATGTGGAGGATGGTGTGGACTGCACCCTCAGTAAATTTGCAGATGGCACTAAACTGGGAGGAGTAGTAGATATGCTGGAGGGCAGGGGTAGGATACAGAGGGACCTAGACGAATTAGAGGATTGGGCCAAAAAAAACCTGGTGAGGTTCAACAAGGACAAGTGCAGAGTCCTGCACTTAGGATGGAAGAATCCCATGCACTGCTACAGACTAGGGACCGAATGGCTAGGCAGCAATTGTGCAGAAAAGGACCTAGGTGTTATAGTGGACGAGAAGCTGGATATCAGTCAGTAGTGTGCCCTTGTTGCCAAGAAGGCTAATGCCATTTTGGGCTGTATAAATAGGGGCATTGCCAGCAGATCGAGGGACATGATCGTTCCCCTCTATTCGACATTGGTGAGGCCTCATCTGGAGTATTGTCCAGTTTTGGGCCCCACACTACAAGAAGGATGTGGACAAATTGGAAAGAGTCCAGCCCAGCGGAGGGCAACAAAAATGATTAGAGGGCTGGAGCACATGACTTATGAGGAGAGGCTGAGGGAACTGGGATTGTTCATTCTGCAGAAGAGAAGAATGAGGGGGGATTTGATAGCAGCCTTCAAATGCCTGAAAGGGGGTTCCAAAAAGGATAGTTCTAGACTGTTATCAATGGTAGCAGATGACAGAACAAGGACTAATGGTCTCAAGTTGTAGTGGGGGAGGTTTAGGTTGGATATTAGGAAAAACTTTTTCACTAGGAGGGTGGTGAAGCACTGGAATGGGTTCCCTAGGGAGGTGGTGGAATCTCCTCCTTCCTTAGAAGTTTTTAAGGTCAGGCTTGACAAAGCCCTGGCTGGGGTGATTTAGTTGGGGATTGGCCCTGCTTTGAGCATGGGGTTGGACTAGGTGACCTCCTGAGGTGCCTTCCAACCCTGATATTCTATGAATGATGGCTTGCAAGAAGTATGAGTAAAAATACTGTTCTGCCATGGTATTTTATAGGTGTTTAAATAGAGAAATGTAGATCAGCTTCAAAATGGGAGCAATCCACTGTCAAGTGTAATCCGACATTCTGGAATTTCAGGTAAACCTCCAGAAAAGCTTGGCAGCTCCACAGAGAACTTGATTCCAGGCTTTCAGCCAGCTCCCTCTACAACACAGGCAGATGCTTTCGGTGGTTCTTCCTTTACAGCTGCATCAGGTAAGCACGTGAGCGTACCCTGAAAGAGCCTCCCTTTGAGATAATACAGGTGGTGGTGGCTTTTCCGCAGCCCTCTGGAGGCCCAGATCCATTTGACTGACCTTGTTTCTTCAGCCAGTCGCCTCTTTGGGCATCTCAGTAGCAAATACAGGACAGGCATGATACCTTAATTGAAAAAGGATGGCAGGAGGGACACATCTACTGAGAGATGCCCTGTAATGTAAGACCTCATCCTGGGAAACCTGTTTAGTTCATCTCAGTTGGCTAATGGATCCAGAATGAATGGACGAAGTTAAACACTGAATAAATCCCTTAAAGTCTATAGGAAAGTCAGAGCCTCTCCTTACTAACCATCATGCATCATACAGTAGCTGTTCTGCACTGGAAGATATAGTCTGGAATGGATGGGGCTAGGGGAACTTGTTAGTCAAAACTTGCCTGACTCCTTGAGATGTGCCAGGTGATTCCACTTCGAGTGGCTATGATGAGATATAGAATCATAGAAATATAGGGATGGAAGGTACCTCCAGAGGTGATCTAGTCCGTCCCCTCCATGCTGAGGCAGGACTAAATCTACCTAGATCATCCCTGAGGGGTGTTTGCCTAACCCTGTCATTAAAAACCTCCAATGACTGAGATTGGAACAGGTTATCATGGGAGGTTGTGCAGTGCTTCCATATACACTACAGAAAGGATGTGGACCAATTGGAGAGAGTCCAGCAAAATTGATTAGGGGGCTGAGGCACATGACTTAGGAGGAGAGGCTGGGGGAACTGGGCTTGTTTAGTCGGCAGAAGAGAAGAGTGAGGGAGGATTTGATACCAACCTTCAACTATCTGAAGGGGGGTTCCAAAGAGGATGGAGCTCGACTGTTCTCAGTGGTGGCAGATGACAGAACAAGGAGCAATGGTCTCAAGTTGCAGTGGGGGAGGTCTAGGTTGGATATCGGGAAACATTATTTCACTAGGAGGTGGTGAAGCACTGGAATGGGTTCCCTAGGGAGGTGGTGGAATCTTTCTTTAGAGGTTTTTAAGGTCAGGCTTGACGAAGCCCTGGCTGGGATGATTTAGTTGGGGTTGGTCCTGCTTTGAGCAGGAAGTTGGACTAGATGACCTCCTGAGGTCTCTTCCAACCCTAATCTTCTGTCATACTTCTAGTTAGAAGAATTTCCTAATATCTAACCTAAATCTCCATTGCTGCAAATTTAAGCCAATTGCGCCTTGTCGTACCCTCAGTGGACGTGGATTACAATTGATCGCTGTCCTCTTTCTGACAACCTATTACATGTTTGAAGACTGTTATGTGCGTCGCCCCTCCGCTGCCAGTCTTCTCTTGTCTAGACTTGTCATTTTGGCATGGGATGAAGGGAAAAAAAACATGCTGATTGTACTAAGCAAAGAGAAAATTATGTGGGTGGGGAAGACATTTCCCTGCCGCAGAGAAGGATAGCAAGGTTGCTTAAGGACACTATATAAACCTCGTGGTAGATGGAAAAAGTGGGAACTGATTGTACGAGCGTGGATTCCACAGATCAGCAATTCATTCAGACCTGATCCTGCAACTGCATCTGAGTGCATGGAGCCTGGTGTGGCGCACCACTGGATTCTGCGCGGGTGCCCAAGTGGATGCTGTTGCAGGATCAGGGCCTTGTTAAAAATTGATTTCTCTTGCTCTCAAGTAAAACCCAACCCAGCTTCTTCAAGCTCAGAAATCTCTGGCTGGATGCTACTGCACATCTTGTCACTTTCTTCAGCTGCGGGGGCACCTGGAAAATCCCAGCACTCTGGAAAACACCCACAGCCACCCAAAACAAAATGTCTGGGGCGGTGGGAGGGAGGCTCAAACGCCGAGCTAAACATTTGACCTTTTTACCATTTAAAAACTGGATTTGTTGGGATAAAACTTCCGCAGGGGTCAGCAAGCTTCAAGGCAAGCAGACAGTCTTTCTGCATCATAAATTAGCTGTGGGCACGTGGAATGTGCTAATGAGAGCACCAGGTTATGGGGCTGGGTCAGATTTTAGATCACCCTAGAATCTTAATTACTCGGAAGGAAGAAAACAAAGAAATCAATTTTAAGATGATTTCTAAATAGAAGTGAGACTTAGAGAAGCTTATAATAGAGCTCAGTAGCTTTGCAGTGGCTTGTACCCACTAGCTAGAGAGCTGCGGAATAACTGGAAGACGCTTTAGTGAGTTAACTTCCTCTAGCCACTCGACACAATCTGGGTCAGACTTGCCTCTGGTGTCAATCAGTGTTGCTGCATCGACTTTAACGGAGAAATGCCAATTTATACCAATTGAGGTGCTGGTCCTCTGTTTATTATTTAAATGCCCTAACACACATCCCGTAAGGCCGTGTCCTTCCAGGTACAAAGTGTCCTTAATTCGCCTTGGGCCAAAAGTTTCTAGACTTTTTCCCATGACACTGTAGTTTGCTCAGCTGTCTGAACACAGGTATGAGTGTAATATTCTCCTGCTTTGAAGGGTTGGGAGGTGTTGACTCAATGTCTTCGCTACATCATTGGAAATTCTTGGTTGAAAAGTGCTATAAACAAGCTTAGTATTAATATTACAAGAGGAAGCAGGGTCTTGCGGGTAAAGCACTGAACTGGGACTCAGGAGACCTTGGTTTAATTCCGAGCTTTGCCGCTGCGCAGATATTGGGTGACTTTCTTTCTTTACTTCATTTCCTCAATCAGTACAATTTGGATGATCACTTCCCTTCTCCCAACTTTTGTCTTCTATCCATAGAATGTAAACTCTTCAGGGCAGAAACGCTCCACGCTTTCTATTTGTACAGCCCTGATCTGGGCTACTACAATAGAAATAAAGAATTGGCGTTGTTCTGTGGATCTCTTTGGCTTTTGCGCTCTAAGTTTCCTACCTCCATAGACTCTTCCCTGCACTAAGATCTGTTTTGTTTTGGGCATGCCTCTCAGAAGTTTTGTTGGAAGTTTCCAATCCCGGTGGAAGCACCATCTCTTTTCCTTCTTTGCTCTTAAGTGAGTGCTAATGAGGGAGTGCTCGTGAATTGACTTGCATTTCTCAGTGCATGAGAAGCATATGATGGCATAATAGTGTGAATTTGGGGCCAGGGCTGGGCGGGGAGCAGTCTGGTTCAGTGGTTTTGGCACTGGATTGGGGTTCAGCAGACCAGGGTTCTATTCCCAGCTCTGATGCTGGGTGACCTTGGATAAGTCACTTCATCACTCTGTGCCTCAGTTTCCCCACCTGTAAAATGGGGATAATAGTACCTCCTTTGAAAAGCACTTTGAGATGTATAGATTTAAAAGCACAATGGATCTGCTCAGGGTGGTCTTATTACTAACTTTTTCATAACAAAATAAGCATGTTTCCCCAGGCATGGTTTAAATCTTTTAAGATCTATCTGTGTCTCAGTGCTGCACCTTTTCTGCTTGACGTTGTTTGCTTTTTCTTTCTCTCTCCTCTTGTTTCTTGTTGTCTGTCCAGCTGAAAAAACAAAAGACATCCTGAGTCTGGACACTAGCCCTCCGCTTCTAGCTGTGCCTGATCCTTTCATTCCTCTTCCGTTATCCGACACACCAGGTAACCAGAACAGAATGTGGAGTTTTAATATCAATATTTGTCACTTTCCGGTTTGCGCCTTGGGAAACTTGAAAATTGGGGCCTATATCAAAAGCCTGCAGGATTTGAGTGACAAATGCTCCTCACCTTTTGGAAATGGGCCCTAGTAGGGGTGTGTAGGTGTGGGGGGATGGATATACATCCCCTAGCACAATGGAGTTCTCATTCCTGATTCAATCCTGGGGTGCTATTGAGATGATACTACTACTACTAATAATAATGGAATTTTTCTCTAACTTATTTCAAGGGTTCAGTTTATACAATAACATTGCTCTACAGCCAAAATGCTTCTGAAATAAATGTAGTCAAACTTGACTAATTCTGGGTCACTGAGAATGAAAATGATGCTTAAAATTGTTGATTGGCTCTAGTTTTCAAGATATGCTATTGGCTCAGTATATACGACCCTTGACTTGGGAATGGCGGAGGATAAGTGAGTTATAAAGGGAAGGGATCTCAATTTAAACCAGAAATGACTAAAATACATCTTTGACGGGATCTATGAATAAATCTATGACTGAGTTTGGACAGTACTTGCTTTTTAGGCAAAACAATGAATGATGCAATCTGAAGCTGGTATTGCGTCATACATGATATGAATTGCATCATGTTATTCCTAGAAGTCATGGATGGGGCAATCATAACGAAGCTTACATCACTCTGCTGAACAAATTGCCCTATATCTGCTCTAGAAATCATACAGTGTCGTGCTCTCTTATTTGTCAGTGTTTGATTTTGCAAAGGGACACATTTCTGTTTAGCCAAAGTGAGCAGAGATGCCTCATACTTGTGTGAACAGTGCAGATAACTTCTGCTATGTTTGTGATGAAATGACTTTCGCATCCCAAAGACGTAGTATAACCACTATGGTTAAGAAAGACCGATTACCTTTATTTTGGTCTGCAAAATTAGGAGATCAGGACAAGAGGTGGGCCCACACATATGCTGCAACACTTGTGCAACAAATCTTCGCCAGTGGTTGAACAGGACAAGGAAATCTATGCCTTTTGCAGTGCCAATGATTTGGAGAGAGCCAACAGATTCATACCAGCAATTGTTACTTCTGCATGGTGCCTCCAGTTAGGGG